GCCCGCGCTCTCGGGGCTCAGTGATCGAGGAGACAAACGTGTTTGTAGACAGATGTGCCCGTCCCAGCACGCCGCGGCGATTATGCAAATCCGGTCATAAGAAGTTTAAAAGCCTGGAACCACCATATTTCTTTATTTCATTAGCAGTGACACAGGCTGTAGCCGATGTGACAGAAGGAACGTGGGGCCAGCCTCCCGGGCTCCGTCCGCACTGTCCCCGGGGACAGAGGTGTTCCCAGCAGTGGGGAGAGAGAGAGAGAGTGTGTGTGTGGTCAGCAGACGTCACCGAGGGCTCTGGCAGGGACACACGGGGCCCTGGCGTCTCACAATCAAAAGCGCCCACGGAGGCACCTGGCTCAACCCTCTAAGGTCACAGGTGGGGAAACCGAGGCCTGGCTCCAGCTCCCGCTTTCCCCACTGGACTTCTGGATGGTGGTGGGAGGTGAGGCTCGGAGGCTCCATGAGGGGGGCCGGGCTCGGAAGGGGGCAGCCGCTGTGTCTGTGAGGCTGGGGTCCCCCTGTCGAGGTTGGCAAGGCGGACGGCGGGCCAGGCGCGTGGAGAGGGCGTTGAAGCCACAGGACAGAGGCCTGGCTGAGGAGGAGGGTCCCGTACGGGGCCAGTGGCCCGGGGAGGAGACCAGGACAGGAGAGGGTGGCCGCCCGGAGACCCGGGGCGGGCAGTGTTTCCGAAGCAGCGGGCAGTTAGCTGGGCCCGACGCTGTGGGGGCCCGGACAAGATAAAAATCGGATAGTGCCCGTGATGGGCTCCGAGGGCGAGGGGCGTGCCCGCTGGAGGGGCTGGGGGGGCGCAGGGCGAAGAGGTGGAGGCAGGGCAGGGACACGGGCGTTCAGGTGAAGGCGTTACTTTTACGGGAGGTTCTAGAACTGCGCCGCCCAGCGCAGCAGCCTCAGTTCCAGCGCCCAGTATCCGCCTGTGGGCAGTGCCGCTCTGTTGGACGGGTGGACGGGGAGGGGGCTCAGGATGCAGGGGAGGGAGGCGGCGTTGGGACCGGAGGGCTGCAGAGGGGTGGGGACACGGTGGCCCCGTGGAGGTGGCCCGGCCTCCCCTCTCCCTGAGGCCCGGGGCCGGGGAACAGTGGGGCAGGCGAGTGTCCCTGCCTCCCCGTGACAGGAGCCTGAGTTGGTCTGGGGCAGGTCTCCCCCCGGCAGGTGTGCGGGTGGGTAGCGAGTGACTTACATGCTCGGACACAGGTAGGCGTCAGTAGGTGAAGAAGTGAGGGCGAGTGGGGTGGGGCAAGTGAGCCCCAGGATCAGTGTGATTCCCGGGGGGGAAGGGGCTTGGAGACAGTCCCTGGTCTGATCGGCCCGTTTCCAGGTCCCTGTTTCCCGAGGCCCTGCCTGTGTCAGGCCCCACGGTGCTCCCAGACCCACGGGGCCCATCCTGTCCCTCCACCTGGGCTTGACTCCGAGGCAGCCCAAGGGGCCTCCTGGAGGGATGGGTGCCTGCTGGACCCACCACGCAGTCCCACCCCAGGAGGATGACAGGACACCTAGCTGTGTGACCTAGGACAAGGTCTGCTCCTCTCTGGGCCTCAGTTTCCCCTCTGTTAAGTGAGATGTGGAATGAGGACTCTGGGGTCTCTCCCAGGCTGAGGTCATTGGGGGGGTAACTGCTTGGCCATGCTGGGTGGGGGACAGCCACCCCCTTAGCAGACCCCTTCACCTCAGGACAGGCGGGTGGGGAGGACACCCCGTCCAGCAGGCAGGCCTCCCACCGGGCCCAGGCTCTGGGGACAGGTGCTGGGCACCAAGGTGAGAGCAAACCCCGGGCGGCCCAGAGGGTCAGGACAGGCCCAGGTCCAGGTGCACCCGCCCTCCCCTCCCTCCCGCCCCTGTTGCGTCAGCAGCCCAATGGAGGAGGCTCCGGGGGGCGGGGGGGTGGTGCCCGGGGAGGAGAGACTGTCCCCAGAATCCCTCGCCACTCACAAGACAGAAGCACAGACTCCTGGACAGTCACACTGGGTGGGGGCCCTTGGTGGGAACAGGAGGGTCTTGCGGGACCTCGGTGGTGTGGTCACCCCCCCCCAGGACAGAGCTGGGCTCACCGCAGAGCACATGGCAATGCAGGTCCCCGCGTGTTGACCACTCCCACGGGGCACGCAGAGGCCTGTGTGTGCACACGGGAGAGCGGCACATGTATGCGAGCCCGTGTGTGCGCACAGTCCTCCAGCCCCTGCCCGGCAGCGGCTCCTCGGCCACCGCAGCACCCCGGGTCGGGAGGGCGGCGGGGAGAGGCCGGGGGCGCCCCTCCGTCCCTCCGTCCCTCCGTCCCTCCGCCCCTCGGTCCCTCCGTCCCTCCGTCCCTCCGTCCCCCGGTCCCTCCGTCCCTCGGTCCCTCCGCCCCTCGGTCCCTCCGCCTGCCAGCGCCTGCCTGTGGCGGGGGCTCTCTCGGCCCCGAACCCTCCTTAACTTGACTTTGGGTTATTTTGAGCAAGCGATTAAAGGTGATTGTGATCAGCATCGCTGGGCGCCAGCTTCCTGGGCGGGCCTGAGGCTCCCCTGCCCGCTCCCGAGGCTGGGCCAGGAGGTGGCCTCTGATCGGCCCCTGCCGGCCGCCCCCACCCCCTGCCCAGGACCGAGCCTGGTGGCCCCGTCCCAGCTGGTGGGCCTCGGGAGCCCCAGGGGACACAAATCACAGCATTGCCAGGTTGTCGGGCTCCCGGGTGGCCGGGGGGGAGGGAGGTGACCGGCACTGTGACGTGGAGTTGAGCTCTGAATACCCCCTAAGGGACCGTAGCCGGACCATGCGGGGACCCAGCTGCCCAGAGCCATTTCCACTGGGCCCAGAGAGGCCGTCTTTGCTGAGGGTCACACAGCAACTCCGGGCTGGCCCCAGGTGGGCTCCATCACGGCCCCCACCCCACCCAATCTCTCCCTTCTCTTTAAATCACAAACAGGCTCTCCCCTGGGAGCTGGATCAAAACTGCTTCATGAAGTTTCCAGGGGGGAAAATCCATCTGCCATCATATTCTCCTCCTAATTTAAGCCGCCTCAGTGCAGACGGGTTGCAAACGTCAATATTGGTGAAACGCACTCGGCTGGCCGCCCGCCAGGCCACAGACGGTGCAGAGGCCGCTGTAAATGCCAATATTAACAAGCAAACACGCACCAGTTCCTGTCTTTCCCTCGGGAGAAATACACGTAGGCCGAGGGAGAGCCCGCAGCCCGAGGGCCAGGAGGAGCGGAGGCCACCGCTCCCCAAACACCGGGTGCTGCCTGCAGTTCCCGACCCCCCGTCTCCCAGGTCCAGCAGCCACGTCACCACTTAGTGCCGACACCAGGGGGTGGGGGCAGAGGGCTGGCTGCTCTGACCATCGAGTCACCGTGCGGGGAGGAGGGGGCCTGGAGGCCGGAGGGGAAGGGTCAGGTCCTTGTCCGGGCCTGGGGAGGGTGTAGGGGGCCTGGGGACTCGAGTGGCATCCTGTGCCCAGAGCCTCACTGTCCTGGGTGCCTGCCTGGTGTCTCCCTGGAGGGCGGCTGGAGGGGACCCCAGGGCTTGGGAGGGACTCTCCGGCCGGCTCAGCACCCCCTGCAGTGCCCTGGCCGGGCCTCTGGGGGACAGGAGACACCCTTGTCTTCAGGGGCAGAGCTGGAGCAGCCCCCTCACTCATTAGCTTAGTGACTTCAGGTTTGACCGGCGGCTGGGCTGGGCTGGGCTGGAGGCAGGGCCCCACTGGACCCCGGGGCTGGGTGCGGCATCCACCTTCTGACCGGCTGTCTCTCTGTCTTGCTGCAGGACCAGCTGAGCCGGGGGCTCGGGGTGGAGCTGTGCGGACGCCCAGGCTGAGGAGGCCATGGAGGTGGCAGGACGCAGCGGGCAGACGACGGGAGGTGGCCGGCAGTGACGGGGCCGCTCCGTCCCTGTGACCATGCGGCCCGGGACAGGACGGGCCTGAGAGCGTGGGCTCCCTCCCTCCTCCCCTCGGGGCTGCCGCCCAGCCCCCAACCCGGTGCCCCCGGGCAGGCAGAGCGGGGTCTCCAGCGAGGGCGGTCCCCATGGCCCGGTGCCCGTGGGGCGCGCTGTGGGCCTGTGTGGCGGCGGCCACGCTGCTGCACGCGGGCGGCCTGGCCCGCGGCGACTGCTGGCTGATCGAGGGCGACAAGGGCTTCGTGTGGCTGGCCATCTGCAGCCAGAACCAGCCGCCCTACGAGGCCATCCCGCAGCACATCAACAGCACCATCGTGGACCTGCGGCTGAACGAGAACCGCATCCACAGCGTGCAGTACGCGGCGCTCAGCCGCTTCGGCAACCTCACGTACCTCAACCTCACCAAGAACGAGATCGCCTACATCGAGGACGGCGCCTTCTCCGGCCAGTTCAACCTGCAGGTGCTGCAGCTGGGCTACAACCGGCTGCGCAACCTCACGGAGGGCGCCCTGCGCGGGCTGGGCAAGCTGGAGTACCTGTACCTGCAGGCCAACCTCATCGAGGTGGTCACGCCCGGCGCCTTCTGGGAGTGCCCCAACATCGTCAACGTGGACCTGTCCATGAACCGCATCCAGCGGCTGCACAGCGCCACCTTCGCGGGCCTGGCCCGGCTCTCGGCCTGCGAGCTCTACAGCAACCCCTTCTACTGCTCCTGCGAGCTGCTGGGCTTCCTGCGCTGGCTGGCCGCCTTCACCAACGCCACGCAGACCTACGACCGCATGCAGTGCGAGTCCCCGCCCCACTACTCCGGCTACTCCCTCCTGGGCCGCGGCCGCCACGGCCGGCGCAGCATCCTGAGCGCTCTGCAGTCCGTGTGCACCGAGGGCGCCTACGCGGCCCAG